CGAGTTTTTCAAGCAATCCAATACGGTTACCCTCAACAGCTCTGACTCTGACTTTCGGAACGGACTCTCTCTGCACCTTTCCCAAACTGGACCTGGATATCGGGCGTTCGTAAGCGTCCCTGGTCTCCGGGTCAAGGAAGCGCCTGGGATCAAACCCAGGAGATGGGCCAAACTTTAATCTGGCAGGATCAACATCTTTCGCCACGTGCTCTGCGACGATGTTGGTATGACCTAGAACTCTACTTGACCCATCTAAGGTGCAATTGCCTGATGATTCGGCAGTGGGCCCGAACTGATCGCGAAGGTTGTGTAGCAGTGCCTCGGTAGCTTCAACTTTGGCAGCTGTTCGGCCCATGGCTTCAGCATCTATTGCGGGATCATTGTTCCATACACGGATTTTGAGCGCAAGCCTGTCCAGAACGGCTTGTTTCAGACTTGCAGCAGCTTCCTTCGTCACGTAGCTTGGGCACGACATGCCGGGCTCACCTTGAAGCCGCAAAGATGTAAAGGAGGTTCTGGCAGAACAAGCAGGGGAACCCGCGTGCAGCCACGATAAAGCAGCGGATACTAGAGCAGTGCCAATGATTTCAGGCTGTTTGCTAGCTAGCTCATCAACACTGCGAGCCGGCAGGCCGCCACCTGCTGTCAAAGGGAGGGGCCAGAACTCCTTAGGGCTTTGACGCCTGTCAGAGGCATCGAAAGTGCAGCGGAGGAAATGATAGAAATGCCCGTCCGTCTTGGAAAGGCATTCCAATGCAGCATGCCAGATGCGATCCGGCTCGACGGGGCTCGCATCTGATCCAGGCACCTTCGGGGCAGCAGCAGACGATGAATCTTTAGCCACCTGCAAAGGTGCGTGAGGCAAGGGCTTGACAATTTCAGGCTCACTTAGCTCAACGCTCGAGGCTGTACAAACGCTTTGGGGCTTCTCAAGCGGAGCGAGCAGATGGGCTTGCAAAGGAGAGGCTTCATCATGGAAGCCCACACCGTCGTTGCAAACCAGATTGCTCTCGACAATGGGAGAGCCAGAGGGCCTGGCTTCTTCAAACGAGCAGCAAAGAGAGGTAGGGCCTACCGAAGCAGCAGCGAAATCCCAAGGCCTGGTAAGTGACTGCTCAGGCGAGAGGCAAGCTGACGAGAGGCAGGCTGAGACCCGATGCGGGCTGGAGGGGGACGGGAATGAATGCTGCGCGTGGCAACCTTGTCCCGCATGCGACATTGCTGCACAAGGAGACGTCAGCTCAGGCTTAAGCGAAACGTCAGGAACAGTATTTTCTCGACCCTGAGGGGAGACATGAACACGATGCAACTGCCCATGACTTCGCGGTGAACGTTCATCAGCGGGCATGGCAGCGGAAGAAGGAACCCCGGCTGGAGAGCAGGGGCTCAATGACAAAGGATTGGCTCTACCCGTAGGGGAGCTATGCACAGATTGAATGCAAGAGAAAAGTGGCGTGAAGCAGCCTCTAAAGACTGGCGCTCCTACGACCTCGTGTACATCAGAGTCAGGGCTAAGGCGTCTGCTTAAGCAGCTAGGCTCTGAAAGACACAGGTTAGAACCACGATCAGGATTGAAAAATAGGCTGTGATCAGGAATACCGTGACCATCTTGCAAATCATGCTGAGGCTGAGTCGCATGACCTGTAAAGTCAACACCAGGCAGCGCAAGCGAGCTAGTGCACATAGAAAGGTCCGGCCAACCACTTTGCGGGACGACCTTATCCCCTCTAGAGCGCACCCCCTCCGCACTACCTGAAGAGGCACAGCCTAAGCAGCTGGAGCATCGGTCCCTCGCCCGCGTGGCTTTCGCTTCGGCTTGGGAGGGCCCTGGTCTTCCATTCCGGCATCGACTGACGTCGTGACATCGGTCCTCGGGTTTGGAGTGCCCGGCTTGCCCAGTTTCCGGCGGAGCTCTACATAAGCATCTTTTTCTTTCATCTTGTGAACCATAAGTTCCACCCACCGGCTTTCCAGGAGTTTTGTATGCGGATTTTCCAGCGAATCGTTCATTGGGCGTCGTTGGAATGCCGCAAACGGCGGCCCAGTCTGCTCTAGAAGTGCTTCCTGAGATAACCCAACTCCCGCCATCGATTGCCGCCTGATCTATGGCGGCGAGCAAAAGAAGCAGGCGACAAAGTGCCTGTTCGCTCTCGCCCTCCCGGAGGAGGTCTATGGCTCCGCACAGTGCCCATGTTATCCTGATAGTCACAGGAAAATATGAGACGCGACTTCGGTGCTCGAACCAAGCACGCGTGGTCGCGGCCTGGCCGCTGAATGCGCCGGTAGAGCGACGAGCCAACAGAAGTCGATTTGGTTGGGTTTGGCCCTGTAACAATTACGTCTGACCCTTTGTTTCCGGGTCCTGCCCAGACCAGCGCAACGACATTACCAGCGGAATGACCTATGATATTTGGAGGGCTGCAAACAAACGCGGCTAGCTGCGACTTGAATTTACGTGGGACAGTAAGAAAAGAAACCTCTGGCTCAACTACTTGCGTGCGAAAGGAAAAAAAACCCTGCGGTTACCCTAAAACGAAGAGATAGAGACAGAAAGAGAGAGTGAAGTGTGTGGTGTGTGTGTGTGTGTGGGTCTCTGTGGCTGTCTGCTTGTGCACGGAAGATCAGTCTTGTGTCATCGCGAAAGCAGCATGCGGCAGCCGCCTTGTCCTGAGTCCTGCTCCTGAGACATGATTTTCCAGTCTCATTCCAAATCATGCACCTTAAAAGTCAAGGAAGAACAGTGCCACTTACTAACCATAAATTAAAGATTCCTTGGCCATGGCGTCTCGGTGCTGGCTAGATACTAGATATGATGATCCCGATGCTCTGCTAAACATTCAAGCTGTGACGCTACACTGGCTTGATGGGAAGCGATGGATGAGAAGACTAAAATCAAAAGCAGGCCATGTGTGGCTTCAGGATGAAACCGAGCAGCACGATGCATGGACATGGGTGCTGACAGCTGGAATCGGTGAAACCCTTCATCGCCGTGAGGGGCTTTGGTACGTTCTCGAAAAAAGGGTTGGCAACCTGATTCTCTTAACCAACTACGAAGACCAATGCTACGAGGCTCTTCGTGTGTCTTTCGTTGACTTCGAAGCAATGGATTGATTCCAGTCTTGTGCGGGCTGAAAAGGAATTTAGTTGGACCACGTTGCAGGAGTGCTCGAGTGTCCTCAGTGTGCTCGGGGGATTTCTTGTCTGATTCAGATGAAAGTTTCGTGCGAGAGTGAGCGAGCTTCATTTGGTTGTTGGCCCAGGTTCTGCAGCCAGAGCAATCGTCACAATATTATCAGAACCTCCACGTACCCTAAAGCCTAAACACTTTCAACCTTCAAACCCAAAGCCTTATATAGCCTCTGAACCGTGTTTACCTCTAAGCTTTGCATGCGCCCACCCCGAACAGCTTCATGAGCATAGTGCGGATAATACTAGAAACGGGTTTGGGTTTGGATCTGTGTTGTTCAGTGTTTCTTGCTTGGGGTGCAGTGTCCAGTCCAATAACTTTTTAACCCCAAGTCCGAAAGCCCGGTAGAACCCCAGAACCCCACACTAATCCCTAGGAAGAGTACGGACAGCTCCTAAGAGGACGCAGGCTGCTAGCTTGACATGCCATGTGCAAGTGCTTTGGTAGTGTGTACCGATGGATGTAAAAGCTGCTGTGCAAGCAGCCCTGAGACAGCAGCATGATGATGTTGCCTGCCGCGCTTCCGGATCCCGAACGGGAGGTTTTCAAGATGCGGCTAGAGATCAGTTCTTCCAGTCTTTCCGAAAGGCTCCTTCTGCCTCGTCTCTATCTGATGCTGAAGCAGTTGATTGTGCTACAACGACTACTTTTCGGGATCCTGCTAGAGCTCAGTTCCTCCAGTCTTTGAACAAGACACCTTCGGCCTCGTCTCAAGCTGATCCGGGGCAAGATTGCCCGAAAGCTGCTTTCAGTTTCTCTGGCCTTCGCCATGCAGTCGGTGGGGCGTAGCTCGGATAGGCAATAATCATGTCGCATGCGAACACTCAGTTTACGAACAAGTCCTGTTTGCAGTGACCAGGAAACTCCGTGGGCATGGACAGAAGCTTGAAGTCACGGGAAGGAAACCGAGACCGAATTACAACAATGCTCGCCGGCGCGCAAACGCATTGCAGAGACCCAAGGCCAGAACGTCAACCTGTCTGCAGATAGCTCATGCGCCTCTAAAAGTAGATGCATTGCAAGTAGAAGTAAGTTGTTGTCGCAATGTAAGGTTCAAAGAACGTGCTGTCGATCGACGCCGCCTACATGGTCTGCTGGCCAGCGACAAAGACTGCAACTGCACTCGCAAATCATGTTATCGGGTTTTGAATAACTCTTTGGATGCAGTCTTGGAATTTGTGACGAAGTTCAATGACATGGATAAGTTGGACCAAGATGAGTTCGTTGCTTGTCCTGCAATGCATTCACTGCCAACCAACAGTGTCTTGACATTGAAGATAATGTTGTGCATGGTTGCTTTAAATATCCAAGATGCACGGCTTGTGTGCTGACCAGCCAGCTACAAGGAGGCGATCCTATGAGTTTCTGGGGCAAGCTATTGCTCCGGACTGTTTGGCTAGCCTGTTGGGGATTGGAAAAAAAAGAATGCTCAAGGCCATGGCTGGAAGATTGGATATGCGGTTTTCTGAAACTGGAGGCTCTGTGCGGCAAAGCCCAAAGACAAACTCTGTAGACATGTTTCTGTACGAGCTCCATTCCTCCGTGGCGGAAACGCTGCCAAGTGGGTTCCTGGTATGGAGCAATTCTCTGTGTGTTGTGAGCGAGTGAAGGATTCTTTTGTATGTCAATGTATGCAGGTCTGTGTGAAGCTTGCGTGCACAAACATGTGTTGGAGGTTCAAGGCTGTAGGGTTTCAGGCTGAGTTTGGGACTGCTGCAAGAATGACAGATTCAGGTTCTTGGGGCGGCAAAGAAAGGACTTGAAGCCCAAGCCGACGAGAAAACAGTTGCAGTGGTCCTGTGCTCTGGGTTGCATGGACGAACAGTGCGAGTCTGCTGACGAATCCGCCGCGGATGATGATCGTAACGATGCATCTGTAATTCTGCCTCCGGAGCAGATGCAGTTGGATGCTGACTTGAAACAAGAAATGGAGATGGACAGAGAGCTATGGAACAAGTAGCCAGGCTCATGTTTGATCGGTGACATCGATGCGACGAGTGTTGTGCCGTGCTTCTGCTCGCATTTTAGGCATATTGGCACCGCCTTTGGCCTCGACCTGGACAAGTTGCCGAGGCGATGGCTTCCTCCGGGCAACGTCATGGACCTCTACCGGCACTATGCCATCAGTGTTCATGAACAGCAGAGAGCCACGCTTCTCGGCAGCAATTGTTTGGACTTGGCAGTGAGCATCGCTTGCGGTTCCTCGTATGTTGCTTCAGGTACAATTTGTTCCTAGCAAGATTTCAGCAGAAGTGGGCCACCAAGCTCGTTTTCCGCAGCACAACCGACTTTGCAGAGTGTGATCGATGCTTCACCCTCAAAGAGGGTATTCGGCAGGCAAAAGACCCTAGCCTCATTATTCGTGCGGTGCATGAACCCAATATTCCTTCTTGTTGTTGCTCCCAAGGATTTGGACACAAAGATGAGTTTCGTTTACGAATACAAGAATCACCTGCAGGATGTGCAAAAGGACAGGAGCCTCGAGCAGATGTTGCAATCCGAAGATTGTTTCCTGGGAAACAACACACCGGTGCTACTGGTCCAGACTGATGGCATGGATCAAGCAAAATGGTCCGTTCCAAGACTTTGGGATCGACCCAGCAAGGAGATGGGCTCTGTGGTGAGGACGGAGCCTGAATTGCTTTGCTTTTTGAAGCGCTAGCAGTGGTATGACCTTGAGCACTTAAAAGGCTTCAGACTCATGAGATACCGAGGCCCCGGATGAAGGTCCAAGGTGTTTGGATCCAGAGTGTTTGCTTGCTGCTTTGGGTGGCAGATGTCCATATCGCCCATGACAGCTCTATGACGGTGGAAGTGAACTGTCCCATGAGTCAAGATTCCATGTCGGATTGCTTGTGTTGAGGGCTGCAGAAATCACCTTTATTTGCCATTATATAAGGTGCTTGCCAGATCCCTCGAGAGATGCGAGCAAATACTGCGATCACATGGCAAATCTATGCCAAAGGAGGTATTAGTCTGGGTGCCTCGTTTGCACAAGATGATAATTCTATCTCATATCGAAACAGCATAGTTTTCTGTTCCAAAGTCCTGAGGTAGACAATACCACACGCGAGAACAAGAACAGCGCGGTGCTGACATACCTGAGCTGGCTCGTGGCTTCATGTGGTTTTCGAGTTGCTGGCTTGCTGAATTCCAGAGTGGGACACACCCACAACCGCCTAGGCCCGCCTCAGGGTCTTGCTGTACCAACTACGAGTGTGTTGAGTGAAACACCAAACAAACGTCTCTTGGCTTGCAGATGCGGTTTATGGGCTGCTGGCAACCGCATTTCGTTATTTGACGGAATTGGTGGATCCGCTGGACGTTTCCCAGTGGCTCGCTTCACTCATTGTGATTGTGTGCTGTTGCTTCTGTCACTGACTTCTCCGGTTGTCCCACTGTGATGCTGAGGAAACTCTATGGGATCTTGCAGGACCTCAACATCCAGTCGTGGATTGGGCCGAAAGCTGTCTTTGCAGTTCATATGCTGGACACAGTCCGGGACTGGAAAGGGTGGCTTCTAGACTCAGTCATGTTGAAGGTTTGAGGTCGCCGCAGTCAGTCATGTGAGTTTATGTGTGGGGGGTTTGATGTTCTCGCAAACATTGAGGTTTGAAAAGCTCCGGGTTGGACTTTCCGGAGGCCTTCTGGACACTTCGGATGGATTGCACTGCTTTATGTTCATGCGACGAAGAGGTGACTCGAGCAGCAAGATTAGGGGGCCTGTGTGTTCCTGTTTGCAGCCACAGTCTTGAGTCTGGAGTCGTGACAGCTAAGATATACCGTCCAACATGCAGATCACCGCGAGTGGAAGCGCAGTTCGACTGTTGCCATCTCATGCAAACGATTGCTGCTGCATTACGAAGCGATACGCTTCCGATGCCTCGCCAAGCCAACCACCGGTGCTCGTGCTTCCTGTGGCCTTCCTTGCCCGCCTGCCAGGTCCTTTGCCTGGGATACCTCGCCCGAACAAGGTTGCGCATGCAGAGCACCGCAAGAAATGGTTAGAGCTGGCAGAAGCCATCCTCAAGCAGTATCCTGCGCTCACTGCAAATTTGAGGCGCAGCGTATTGTATCTCACCCGTGTAGGCCGCGGTGAAGCGCCTCTTCCCAATAGACCGGCGAAGTCAAAAAAGCAGGAAATAGTCAATAGTAAAAATTTTTACTTTGGTTCATTTTGACTTTGACTTCGAAGTTAAAACCGGGCGTAGAAAATAGTTAATTTGCGCGGCGTCAAAGTGACTTTGCGAAGCAAAAATTTTAACTATGAAGTAAACTCGGTGCAAAACTGCTAGAGGAAGTTTGGTGGAAGTTTCCTCTAAACTGCTTCTGAAACTGCTTCCAAACTGCTTCACCCTGAGTGGCAGTTTCAAGGGGCCGAAATCAAAACTTCCACTAAACTGCTCTTCATGTTTTTGCATTATTTCTGGCAACGAATATGGGTACTTACATGCAAAAAACAATTCAAGTGTACATGGCAGACCGACACATATACGAACCCACCTGCACACATCTTCCGCAACACACACACAAACAACAAACATATATACATGTGTATATATATATATCACACCGACAATCCAACAGACACACAAGCACACAACAAACAATACAGAAATCACACACCCACACATATCACAACACAGGCGACACAGACACACACACACACAGACACACACACACACGGACGAGATACAACACACACTCAAAGCAACCACACCGAACATAACGGCACATACACACAAAGCACAACAACACAACAACACAACCTACTAAACCTCTAGATAAACCAGTGAAACCCTTAGATAGCAAAAGTCCGGACCTCCCAAAGAATGAACCCTTACAGGCCATACATAACCTGATAAAAACCTTGAACTTGTTGTAAACCCTTCAACCCTTGAGGCCTTCAAACCCAAACTCATAGAACCTCTACACCCTGGAAGAGCTACCTTGAGGGAGAAGCGAAAGGGTTCTACCTTGAGAGAGAAAAAAGACGTGGGGTCTACCTTGAGAGAGAAAAAAGATGTGTTTTCTGTGTCTTCCTTGAGAGAACGAGAGTCTTACCTTGAGAGAGGGGTGTGTGTGTATGTATGTATGTATGTATGTATGTGAGTGTTGTGTGCATTGCTCCGGCCGATCGTTTCAAGTGTTTTGAAGTTGAAACTCACGAGTGTGTGTCTGTGCATGAGTGCGGATCAGAACTTGTGTATCAGTGTATCATGTAATGGGTATATATGGTCAGCTTACTGTGTGGGGCAGTACATGTCATGTCTGTAAGTGAGCATGTTTATGTATGTATGGACTCAACTTGGATCTGTAGCTGTAGCTTTTCGTCGTGCTTTGCCATGCTGCTGAAGAATGCAGCAGTTCGTTTTCGTTCGGTGGCGGACCCCGCTGTGGGTGTGGGCGATCTTAAGAAGTGCTTGGACGAGTTCTTGAAAGAGAAGGGGGACGACAACCTTGCAAAGCTGCTCGAAGGTCCCAGCGGCTACTCCTGGAAGAGTGCTCCTTGTCCGGTCTTTTTGAGCAAGTCGGCCTCGCTTTGGAAGTCTCTGCTTCGCTTGGCTCCCAATGCGACCATTTCCGGTAAAAAGAATCGCACAGCAGTGACTCGACTGATCGAGAGCAAGAAAGTGAACATGACCCGGCAGTCCGATGCTGACTTCATCGACACGATGGACGAGCAAATCAGAGTCGGATTAAATCACCTTCGCGGTCTCAAGATGAGTGAGCTTCTTAAGCAGCGATGCTTCAAAAAGGCGGACTCTGCACAACAAGAGATCCTCAACGATCTCTTGCAGCTGGTGGTGGTCGTTCCTGGCGACATGGGTGATGAGGAGCAGGTAGAGGCACCCCCATCATCGTCCTCAGCTCCAGCCTCAACGGCTTTGGTTTTGAGCACTCCTCCTGCTCGCACCGTGAGCAGCTCGAGCATCAAGAGCAGCCCTTCGACGAGTGTCCCGGATTTTCTGGAATCTGGCAAAGTGTTTACCAGAGTCTTGCAGCAAAGGGATTCCTTGTCATCTTTGAGCTCACATGAGCCAGGGTCGGCGGCAGACGGTGCCTCCCCTTTGAAAGCTTTGAGCTTCACGGACACGTTGAACAAGATGGCTATCGATAAGGGAGAGAAGTTGATGCTGGAAGCAGCCCAGCAGAAGGCCCCTGCCGAGATCAAGCTGAAGCCGAAGCAGCCAAAAAAGCCCAAGGCAAAGGCGAAGGGCAAGGCGAAAGCCACAAGCCCGAAGACGAGCACGAAGCCGGAGGACCCCAAGACTGCCAAGCGAAGTGTGGAGCACAAAGAGACTTCGGCACCAAAGGCCGCAAAGGTTGGGAAGGGCAAGCACGGCAAGAAGGATGATCCGGAGGTGCCAGAGGTGCCAGATGATGCCGAGATTGTGCAGCCGGGCCCCAGTGACCCCCCCGATTCCGAGAATGCTGAGGATGCCAAAAAAGTCCCGAAGGAGCGGAAGTACAAAACCACGGAAAGGGCACGTGTCCTCAGCAAGGCCTATCATAAGAGTCGCTTGGCTGCCGAGAAGGCAGGCAAATCCGCAGATGAGGCCAGGAAGATCGCTCGAGCTGCTCATGCCGAGGCAGCCAAGAAGTATGACGAGGAGCAGGCTTAGAGACAGCAATGGTGTGGTGTATGTATCTTTTGTGGCCCGCACAAAGAAGCAGATCAAGTATAGCAGTATGCACACTTTGCTCGTGAGTGCAGTTTTGGCTGCTTGTCTGAAGCTTTTGTTTCTGTCTCTGTGAATCACAGAGGCACACGAATCCGGGTAAGTGTCTGTGCACTCCTGTCATGCCTATAGCATGTGCAATTGTGAGTGTCCGAGCATGGAGCATATGTTCACCGAGGGGTCCAGACGTGAAAAAACCAAGGCTGTGTCCAGCTTCTACTGTAGATGTACATACACAGGTATGTGTAGCTAGGTGTGTGTGTGTGTGTGTGTGTGTGTGTGTGTGTGTGTGTGGGGTGTGCTTGTGTGTGTGTGTGTGTGTGTCTCCGTGTAGGTGTTCGGGTTTGTCTGCTTGTGCGAACTTGCATGGGTTTAAGTATATAAGTCTAAAAAGCGCCAGAACAACCCCAAAACCTGAACTTCAACCCTAGAGCCTAGAGGCTCAAACCCTCTTTAAACACCATGTTTGCATTATATACAAATCCCAAATCCTAGACCCTAAACACTAGATAATATGTAGAAGCACCTTAACCCCCAAACCTGGCACCCTCAATCCTAACTCTTCTCCGGGCTTGGGATATGGACTTGTGTTTCAGGGTTTAGGACTTGAGGTTCAGGATTTAGGACTTGAGGTTTTCAGGGTTTTTGATTTGAGGTTCAAGGTTTAGTGTCCAGGCTGACAAGGTTTTGGGATTTGGGTCCAGCTCCTTAAGATTATGGGGTCTGTTCTGAAGTTTGGCCGTGGTCAAGATCGCAGGTGTTGTCAGGGTATCTGGTTGTTATATATATATACACATATTTTTAAATAAATATACATACACATATATTATATCGTATGAAATTTAGGGGTGGGGGTTTTCAGGGGTAGGCTCGAGGTCTTTAGGAGTGCGGGTTCAGGGCCAGGACAAGGGTTTGGGGTGTAGGGTGAGTTTGGAATCCACAGGAGTTCCAGTGTACAGGGGATTTGAGTGGTTCAAGAATTATGTTGGGTGTTACCTCGAAGGGATTTTGAGAGTTGCCCTGAAAGTTACTTTGAGAGCTACCCTGAGTGCTACCTTGAGTGTTACCTTGAGTGTTATACCTTGAGAGCTACCCTGAGTGCTACCTTGAGTGTTACCTTGAGTGTTATACCTTGAGAGCTACCCTGAGTGTTACCTTGAGTGTTACCTTGAGTGTTACTTTGAGAGTTACTTCGAGTGCTACCTTGAGAGTTACCCTGAGAGATACTTTGAGAGTTACTTCGAGTGCTACCTTGAGTGTACCTTGAGTGCTACTTGGAGTGAAAAGAGAGATCTGCAGACACCTGAAGCACCTCATCATCCCTAAACCAAGCGACCCAAAACAAGCCCAAACCCAACAAGCCTTCACCCTTTGTTCGCAAAGCCAAACTCTCGAGGATTAAGGAAACAAAGGGGATCAGTTCCGGGCTTCAGGATTCCAGGCTTTTCGGGGGACCTTGGTCTTTGGATCATGTGCTTGTTTGCTGAACATAGTGTGAAGGTCTCAAAAGGTCTTGAGTTATGGGGGTTTGCAGCCCGAAGCTTTACTTCATCCCCACAAGAGGTAGACAACCCGCGAACTACATCTGTGTATGAACATAGTCATGCTTAGACAAAAGCATCTTATGCTCCAGATCCGCCGAACCCGTATAGTACAGACCCTGAAGCCTAAACCGTGCCAGCATTCAAAGGGGGAACATATGCAGCCTCGAGAGGTTCAAGTCCAGTTGCGACAATCAAAACATGTGGCATTGGCAAATACTCGCTTCAGGCATCAGCCACCATACTCTTTATAGTCAATCCAGTACTGGTAGGACCTCCTGTCTTTGACAATAATAACTACTAGCCACCATTACTCCTCATGGTCCTATATACCCTGAACCCTAAAGTCTTTTGTGTTCTCAGTGTTCACATAACAAAAATCAAGCATTACACACCCGCCTCCATGCACACCCGCTGAGAAGTTTCATCACCCTGCAAACCCAAGCTTAGATTCTACAACCTCAGACTTTAGCACCCTACAAAGCCAAGCTTAAAGTCTACAACCCTTGACCGTATAGCACCCTGCAAACCTACAGTCTACAACCTAGGGCTTTAGCTTTGTAGCAACCGTGCGGAACCGAGCACCCTGTAATCCTAGAATCCTTCTACAACCAGTTTCACCGAGATGGATGGCCAGCATCGTGTGTTCCTGAGAAACCTCAGATTTCAGGTTACAAAGACAGAAATCGCCAAAGTATGCTGGGACTTGGGTGTTCAATGTCTGAATATTAATATCGTGCGGAAGGGCAACTTTGGCAAGCAAACAATGTGCAGTGCTTTTTTGGAAGTGGCCAGCAGGGAGAATGTGACCTGGTTATGCCAGCAGTTGCACGGAAAGTACGACTTCCGAGTGGCCGAGGTCCCTCTTTTTGCAGAGCCTGCTGAGCCGAGGAGGGGCAAAGGTGCTGGTGCTGGTGTTGGCGGTGCAGCACCCGCAAAAGCGCCAGCACAAGCACCCGCACCGGCACCAGCACCAGAACCAGCACCGGCACCAGAACCAGCACCGGCACCAGCAGCTGAAGTGGATCCTCGCTTGGTGGCCCAACCGCTTTCGCCGACCTTGGAGCCCACTTCTCCTGCTGTTTCACAGGCTACCGATGTCTCTGGTACAGATGCTGGCTCTGGTACAGATGCACGGGACGAAGCTCTGAGGACCCAGCTTCAAGGGAGGCTGATGGGTCAGGCTGAGGCTTCGGCGCCTTCTGAGTCTGGTACAGATGGGGATGGCTCTGGTACAGATGGCTCTGGTACGGATGGCTCTGGTACACGTGGCTCTGGTACAGATGGCTCTGGTACAGATGGCTCTCCTACAGTTGGCTCGCCATCGTCTGTGGGTCCAATTGTGGTGAAGAGATATCGGAAGCGACCGAGGCCGGACGAGCACACCCCGACGGAGCCTGGCGAAGTGGAGCCAGATGTGATCTCGGAGGCCAGGTTTGCAAAATAAGCACAATATAATGCTATCTGATCACCATAAACCGGAAACCTTAAACCCTAAATCCCAAACCCTCATCCCTAAACCTTGAACCCGGACTTAGGGATTCAGAATGTTTCGGGTTTGGGGGTTTAGGGTTTCCTGCCGGTTCAGGTATCAGGTGTTATAAGATGTTATGGGATCTTTGGGGTTTGCAACTTTGGTGTTGTGCTGCAACTAAACCATTATGTGGCCTAAGATTGCTTTAAAGCTGTGCTGGTTCACTTTCGGTGGTAACCATAGTCCGCCCTCTCACATGGTAACATATATGAAGCCCGCATAATACTTCACCTAGAAAGCTAAGACCCCACAGGCTGGCGGCGACGATGTTTCACACGGGGGCCGGAGCTCAGAGAGCGACCCAGAGGGCTGAGATGAAACATTGAGGGTTACCGGAGGGTGTGTAGAGTGCTGCCCAGCAAGCCAACACGATTTCCTCAGAGCCCCTAAACCTCTTAAAGCCGCCCAAACCTAGACTTTAGCACCCAAAGCCCTCAGACCCAAAAGCCATGCAACCCGAAAGCTTCAAACCCACAAGCCACATCAAAGCCAAAAGCCACGACCTCTAAAACTTTGAAACCATACAGCCCTACAGCTTCAAACCCAAAAGCCACAACCACGGAAATCTCCAGCCCTCCAAGCCTAAAGCTTCAAACCCCAAAGCCACGACCCCTAAAACTTTAAAACCCTGTAGCCTTATCTCCCCAAACCCAAAAGCCACAACCTCTAAACCCTTCAGCCCTCCAAGCCTAAAGCTTGAAACCCCAAAGCCACGACCCCTAGTACTTTAAAACCCTGTTGCCTTATTTCCTCAAACCCAAGAGCCACAACCCCTAAACCCTTCAGCCCTCCAAGCCTAAAGCTTGAAACCCCAAAACCACGACCCCTAGTACTTTAAAACCCTGTTGCCTTATTTCCTCAAACCCAAGAGCCACAACCCCTAAACCCTTCAGCCCTCCAAGCCTCAAGCCTCAAACCCCAAAGCCACGACCCTAAAATTTTAAAACCCTGGTGCCTTATCTCCTCCCCTAAACCCTTCAGCCCCCCACAAGCCCAAAGCCTCCAACCCAAAAGCAACGACCCCTCAAAGAACAAAACCCTGTAGCCCTATAACTCCTGAAACCCACAACCCTCAAAGCCTAAAGCTTCAAAAGCCCGAAACCCCAAACCCAGACTCAGACCCGGATGTGTGTGTTTCCACTACCCAATATACAGGCCTCGAACCCAAAAGCAACGACCCCTCAAAGAACAAAACCCTGTAGCCCTATAACTCCTGAAACCCACAACCCTCAAAGCCTAAAGCTTCAAAGGCCCGAAACCCCAAACCCAGACTCAGACCCGGATGTGTGTTCCCACTACCCAATATACAGGCCAGGGTAAGTTTCCAATAATGTAGCAGAAGCAAAAAGCTATGGAATTTAAGTAAAGTTTCTAGGTGCCAGTAGCAATTTAGTAGAAATTTCGAGTAAACTTCCACAAGCAGGTGTAGCAGTTTGGTAGAAGTTTCCACTAAACTTCCACTGGCTAGTGTAGCAGTTTGGTAGAAGTTTCCACTAAACTTCCACTGGCAATTAGCAGCCCATTAGCAGTTTCCAAGATTACCAGTAGCAGTTTCTATGCATGCTTTTTATATATGTACCAGGGAATACTGCCTAAAGCCCCGAAACTGCTATTAAACTGCTTCCCAAACTGCTTTCGAACTGCTAGCAAACTACCACCAAAGTGCTAGTAGCAGTTTGGTGGAAACTTCCACTAAACTTCCATTGGCTTGCTGTGCAGTGCTTTCGCCCAGCTGCATCGGTGCAGTAGCTTTGCTAGTCGTTCCGTGTGTTGTGCCTTTTGAAAGCATGGTGCTTTCTAAGATGGCCATGAAAGTCATGAAAAAGCCGGCGGCGGCTAAGTCCACGAAGACCAAGAAGGTCAAGGAGGAGGAGGATGAGGCCATCACGAAGAAAGGGAGCATGAATGATTCCATCAAGCGAATGAAGAGCTCGGCTACCTTGTGCATCGAGGATGGGAAGGCCGACCACGACATGGAGGGGGAGGAGGAGGAGGAGGAGGGGGGTGACGAAAGCACCTCAAGAGACAAGGGCTTTGCTCTCAAGTTTCAGAAGATGAAGAAAGACCTGCCTGCCTACGTGGTGGACTTGGTGGAGACCCAGTCGGCCAAGGCAGCCCACCCACGGGAGTTCAAGTCGAAAATCATCAACAAGCTGTTCAAGAGAGAATCTTGGCTGCGAGATTATGTTATGAGCACGGTCTTTGCATCCCAGGGGCATGGGTCTACATTTACTATTATACAGTATACTACTCCATTTGCTCCGTGGTGGTGGTGGTGGTGGTGGTGGTAGTAGTAGTAGTAGTAAAGAAGAAGTCTAGAATAGTAGTGTAGCAGAAGTAGTAGTCGTAGTAGTAGTAGTAGTAGTAGTAGAGTAGAGGAGGAGGAGGAGGAGGAGGAGGAGGAGGAGGAGTATTGTAGTAGTAAATGTCGTCGTGATGTGTTTGGCGGTACCACGAAAAGAAAAACTACCAGAGAACGATCATCACTATGTAAGGAAACTCTCTAGTTCTGTAACACCATCTCGATAGCATTCTTTGCTACGAAACCAGCCGAATGTCAGGGCGACTGGGATCTTTGTACCCCAGTTTGCCAATGTTGTTTCTTCGTGGTTTGCTCTGTGTTGTTATGTCGTTTCCAAGGACAAGTCAGGCAAGATCCACTTGAACTTGCAAGATGCTTGCTTTAAAGAGCACAAGAAGCTTTACAACGAGAATTTCTCCAAGAGCTCCGAGATCTCCTACCCCGAGAGCATATTCAAGGGTATGTTCTATGCCAACAACGACGACAAGTTCGAGGCCGCCCTGGCAAAGGGCGAGATTTGCGAGGCGAAGAGCTCGGTCCCAGGAGTCAAGTTCTTTAGCTTTCAGACCTTCAAGGCAGTCCAGAAGACAGGGTGCATGGAGGAGGAGGAGCTCTCTTCGACTGCCAAGGTGAGCAAGGATCAGGCCAAGATCTTGTCCGAGTGCTTTTCTCGCATCGGCTGGAAGATGAAGCACTCCACCGATGAGACCAAGAAGTTCGCGAAGGGGGGCTCCGTGCCCACCAACATCGAGGCAGTGCTTCGTACGGCCTTGGAAGCCCAGCAGAAGCTCTCCAAGGATGCCATGATTATCTTGAAGAAGTGGGGGGCGGATGATGATACGACGAAGAACCTTCGCAAGTACCACAAGGGCAGCCAGGAGTTCATCGTGAAGCTGGACCACATCAAGCAGTTTCGCGAGCTCCCGGATGACGAGGCCTTGACCAAGCCGAATTTCGACAAGTTCCTCCTGAAGGTGGCCGATCATACGGAGCAGTTCAATGTTCTGGTTGAGAGCAGCAAAGGGGCCTTGAAAGCCAAAATCAATTGAGACGTCTAAGATGTCATCAAGAGGATCTGATGATCATGCTCTCATGAGCATCGCATGATCGGCTTGAGCTGACCGGCTGTAGATGCTGTGTGTGCTGCCGATGTGCTTTTTGCAACAAGACCTGTGCTAGATGTTGCTGCGAGCAGCTTTTTGGTGGGGCAAGAAGAACAGTTACAGATAAAGTAGCACAAAGCATAGGTGTCTTGATAGACTAGTTTTTTTGATCTTCATAGCTGTTCTGTTTTGATAGACTAGTTTTTTCGATCTTTTGTCTGGCCCCTGTACAGCTGTGTATGCAACACCACCGGTGCTACGTGTAGCTGTAAGCTGTTTTGGGCAGGAGCAGGAGGAGTGAAGAGTTATAGAAGCAGCATAGACCATAGCTGTGTTGATAGACTAATTTTTTGGATCTTCGTAGCTGTGTCGATAGACTAGGTTTTTCGATCTTTGCTCTGGCCTCCGCTTGCAGCTATGCTGTGCACCCATCGAGGAAATCTCGCTCGAACCGAAGCATTAGACTCTAGACATGAAAAATGTCGTCGCCATGGCGCTTTTGTTTGAGAAATAGAGTCTTATGTAACTGTAAGTATGTCATATACAAGCCCAAGCCACCCAGAACCCTAATTTGGTCTTCCAAGAGAGCTTCTCTGAGAGAACGATACCATGAGAGTTTGAGTGGAGAGCTATTTTTCGAACTTATATAATGCCATGAAAGTTAATTATACTTTCATGGAATAATCTCCACCCGCCCACACACAACCTTAAACCCTAAGCCTTACACTTTGCTATCCCGAACAAGATACCCTGCAAACCCTACGTCCCGACACAAACTCTCCACCCGTATAGCTCCAACCCTTTCAACCACACCCAGCTACTAACCATGTCCTGAACCCTGCTTCCAATTCTTCCCTGCCTGCAAGCTTTGAAACATCTTTCTGGAAGTGCACCCGTGCCTGAACCTTTTGTCCCTTTCCTAAGTTGCCCCAGCCCTGTATGTAGGAACTATACAAAAGCTCGAATCCCAAATCCCGGATACAAACCTCACCCACCGACCGAAACTTGCACACAAACCCGAGCTCCAAAAAGCACCCTAAGCCTCAAACCCATTGTCTGGTGACCTGGTCCATAGAAATTATGCCCGAAGGTCTATGAAGCCTAAGCTTCGAAACCTAAAACCTAGGCCTTGAGCACTATGTCTTGAATAACCCTATGAATAGATATACATACCTATAAGCCCTAAGGACCAAACCTAAAAAAACCTATATAGACCCCAAACCCTTGAGCCCAAAACCCATAAATCTCACAAAGTTTGAACTGCACACCCTGGATGTTGCAATTTCCATCCCTAAACCCTCCCCACCCGCATCAAACCACGAACAGCCTCACCCTAACCAAACTATCAAACCCATGTATACACCCACATAAGACCACGAACCCATGGACCCCAAAGCCTGGACGTTCCAACAGCAATCCCACACGATTCTAAACCATGAAGCCTCAACCCAAAACTCTATCCCCAAACCCAATCCCATATAGACAATAGACCACCGCCCTTGTTTCGGCCATGCAGCCTCAATCTTAAACCCTGGAAGCCCGGATACCCCAATCCCCGAAATTTCAAACCATACACCTCCGCCCTAAACCCTGAACCTGAGCGCCTAAAAGGCTTGAACAACCTCTACAACAGCGACCTGTATAAGCATTCCCCAAATTACAAGATGCATCGAATCACTTGAACATGAATGCTCAAGTCTGCTCCCTCAAGGGGACTCAGACACTAGATGAAAACAACATCGCTACACATTCCAGATAAGCAAGCCCAGATTGTGATCGCACTCCTCGATAGGTCTTAGGTGTCTCCTTGGATAACATTCCGAAGGCCCTGGCAGTGTGTAGACATATTAGCCAGAACGAGGGGTTTGGGAGTTAGGGTTTAGAGGTTTAGGGCTTAGGGGTTTAGGGTTTCGGGCTGAGTACCATGTCATGCTGGACTCTCATGTTATATGACCTTTTACATGAAAGTCCTTCATGGTATACTCTTATGTCACACAGTGTTTCATGGTATACCCTCATGGTAAAGTCTCTCAAGGTAGACTCTCATGGTACACTCTCTATTGGTAAACTCTCATGGTATACAGTCTCTCATGGTAGACTCTCATGGTAGACTCTCATGGTAGACTCTCATGGTAGACTCTCATGGTACATAGGTTTTTTTTATCTAAAAATACACTCTCTTGCGACAGACCCTGAGCATATTCATCTCCAACGATCCTAGATTGTTCATTTCTCATGGCTGAACCTCCGGCGAAGAAGCGAAAAGGTGGGCTGAGGCAACGACTGCAAAGAAGTAGAGAGGAAAAAAACCAAACCTCTGATCTTGCTGCCTACTTGGTGGAAGAATGCCTGTGGGGATCAATGTCGCCGCAACAAGTGCAAAAAATAGCGGCTTTGTCATGCAGGGATGCAGCGAGGGCCAGAGAGACCGGCGACATGCCTGGAGAGCTGGAAACTTTGGCCAAATTGGGGGCCAGTGGCCTGTATCCGAACAAGTGTTGGGCCGACTTGACAAGGCAGCTGGCCCCGAGCATCAAGGTGCCACCTGCGGTTCTTCATAAGGTACCGACCAAGGCGGGTCTGGATACACTTCCGGTGCTCATGCCACACGAGCTGTTGGCATCCATTTATGACACTTTCCCAGCTGTTTGGGTTAAGGTTGTGAAGCCGTCGGATAGCCGAGCCGAGCAGTTTTGGCGCTCAGTGAAGGGCCATCCTGCACTGGAGTCAAGCCCACTCCTCGCTCGGCCGAATTATCAGCGGCTTTGCATACCCCTGGGTGTTCACGGCGATGCTGTTCCAATCACTGGGTTGGGGAAAGCTTGGTGCCAGCAGTTGACCGACCTGAGTTTCATGAGCCTTTTGGGTCTTGGCTCTGTGAAAGAGCTACTGTTTTACATGGGTGGATTTTGGGAAAAGCTGAGAGTCATGTCGAATGACATGAATGGCACCGCTCACAAGTTCTTGGCAGTGCTGGCTTGGTCATTTCAAATCCTCTGGGAAGGTGTTTGGCCATCAGCTGATTTTTCGGGCAAGCAGTATCTTGGATGGCATTGTCAATCTTGTGTTTCTTTGCTCGAGAGCCTAGCACAGTTTAGGGTTTAGGGGTTTTGGGTTTAGTGTTTAGGGTTGACCTCCCCTATTTGTTTAAAAGCCTAGACATATATAAACCCCGACATATATACCCAGACAGATCAGGTACCCGGCAGGGAGTCAGGAAGCTCGCAAAGCTGGACAACCTTTGATGGGAGGACATTTCGCTTTCCTTTTCTCTTTGCAAGGCGATCTTGATTATTATGCATCGGTCCTTGACCTCCCAAGAAGTACATTGGCTTCGGGGCCATGTGCTCTGTGCCGGAGCACGAAGGTCGGCCCTTGCAGCTGGCAAGACTTCCGAACTTCTGCGGCTTGGCGAGCCACGTCTTGGAAAGCCTCCGAATGGCGATTGTGGTCTGGCAAATCATCCTGCCCTTTGCTGCAACTTCCTGGAACGAGCTGTTGGACCGTGGCGTTTGACTGGCTTCACATAAAATACCTCGGCCTAGACCAGTTTTTATATGCCAGCATCATCTTCATGCTCGTTTTTTACATCCTTCCTGGGACCCCAGAGGAAAACATGCAGTCCTTTTGGAAGCTTTTGCAGCAACAGTACTCAGATTTGGCTGTTCCATGTCGCTTCAGATACCTGAACAGGTTAAGCATGATCCTTAGAAAAAAAGGATCTCCCAAATTACGAGGCAAGGGGGCTGAAGTACGACATCTCAGTCGTCCGATTTTCAACATCTGGGCGGCCAAGATGAACCCAGCATTGGAGATACATCGTAAGATCCACCTCCTCCTTAAACTGAATGCTAATGCAGAGCAGCTTTTGACTGATCACCGTGAGCTTTTTGCACTGCCCTCGAGAGATGCTTCGGTATTCGAGACCTCTATCGATGGAGTTCTCATGCTGCAGCACCAGCTGCAAGGGCACTTTCAAGATGAGCCTCAAAAGCTCTTCAACGTCACCGAGAAGTCGCATTTTGCTCAGCACTGCGGCATTCTGGCTCGGCATGTTTCGCCACGACTTTTATGGTGCTTCAGTGGAGAGGACCAGCAGAGACGAGTACAGGAGCTCACACAGGCATCGGTCAAGGGGAATGGCCCCGGTTCTGCTCTTATCAAGGTTGCAACAAGATACAGAATGGCTTTACATGTGCAATTTCACAAGATCGAGGCCAAGAGGGCCTGAGCATTCCTCGGCTTGGAGAAGTGTGCTACACTGTTGGGGAGCTGTGCGAAAATGTGGGAAGGACCGAATGTTCGAGGGTTTAGGTTTAGGGATTTAGGGGTTTAGGGGTTTAGGGGTTTAGGGTTTAGGGGTTTAGGGAACTTCTCCACCCCGAGTCCCGTCTCAAGCTAAGCTGCCAAGTTACACCCGAAACCGCAAACCCTGAAGCCCGAACCAACACACACCCGTCTCAAGCTAAGCTGCCAAGTTACACCCTAAACCGCAAATCCTGAAGCCCGAACCAACACACACCCGTCTCAAGCTAAGCTGCCAAGTTACACCCTAAACCGCAAACCCTGAAGCCCGAACCAACACACACCCGTCTCAAGCTAAGCTGCCAAGTTACACCCTAAACCGCAAACCCTGAAGCCCGAACCAACACACACCCGTCTCAAGCTAAGCTGCCAAGTTACACCCTAAACCGCAAACCCTGAAGCCCGAACCAACACACACCCGTCTCAAGCTAAGCTGCCAAGTTACACCCTAAACCGCAAACCCTGAAGCCCGAACCAACACACACACACTCACACTCACTCACCGCCCACCCACAACGACATCGACACACAACACACCACAACCACACACACACACACGACACAGACACAATCTTGGCATAAGGCACATGTAGCTTAGCATGTGTACATTTGTCAGCTACAACACATAGCACATATAACACAAAACACAAAGCACACGACACACAACACACAGACAGAAGCACACGGAGAAACATTTACACACAACAACTTATATATACTTATGCACACAAACACACACAACAATGGACTTTCAAAGAGCAAAATCTCTGTAGCAGTTTCGGCCGGCCACAGAAGCAGTTTGGAAGCAGTTTCAGTAGCAGTTTCCCCTTCCCGAGTTTACTTCGAAGTCAAAATTTTAACTTCGAAGTAAACTCTGTTTTGACTTTGCGGGGGCGGCGTTTTAACTTCAAAGTAAACGCAAAACAAATTAACTATTGACTTCGAAGTTAATTAACATAGTCAATTCGCGTTTTGACTTGTTTGTAAAAAAAGCTCTTTTTCTATGAAATAGAGCTTTGGTACTTTTCTGACTTCGCCGGTCTATTGGGTTGCTTCCTTCGAACCGCTCCCATGGCACCAAACGGTCAAACACGCGGACCTCGCGCAAGGAATGGACGCCTTGTCTAGTTGTGTCATGTTGTTGCCGGTGGCCACATTCAATGCACAATTGCGAAGGTAAAACGCCTAAGGCGTTTGAATCTCGTGGTTGGGTGGCTCAGCTGACAAGCATTGTGCCGGTGAGAAATAGGTTTTCCTTGGCCTGTGCAAGATTCAACTCAGTCCGTGTGACCGTGCCTTTCTGTGTGATCCGTTACAACAATGCTGCCGAACATGTCCACTGCAGGATCGAGTTTTCAGCTTGGCTTGCCGATGCTGATGTCCAGTGTAGTGTAGGTAGAAGGTTCTACTTTGTGGTGCTTCCCGCTGAAGATTCCAGTCTAGATGTGGTGCAAGCTGAAGAATTCCAGTGTAGATGTGGTGCAAACCAGATGTTAAAATCTTTCATAGAAGTCCCAGACCTCTTTTGGAAAGCCTGCCATCCTCGAACATGGCAGCTTCTGTTTCCCGAAAGAGGACACGCTGCCAGAGTCATGTGTCCTCAGTGTTTCCCCAAAATGCATAGACAGACCTGAAGGACCTCGGATGCTCGAAACCTGGACCTCACGTCTGCCGTGGCTTCCTTGGCCAGACAGATGCCGGGCTCTTCGAAGGACAGCTAGGGATGTGATTGCTTGCAATTCAGTTGTCTTGCTGTCTTGCAACTCGTTGCTACCTGCTGAAGTCGGCGTGGCAGTGTTTCGTGTTGTCCCAAGGTTTTGGGCCCAAGCTTAGCTACTTAGCTCCCGTTCCTAGTGATAGTGAGATGGGCCGCAGAATGCTGCCTCCTCGGAAGATCCCTCGAAAATTCAGAGGGTTAAAGGTGCCTGAAAAGAAGTACGTCAAGGGGCACTTTACTACTCGTGACCTGGCCAAGCTCATGGATCGCAAGAGCATTCCGCTGTGCCGGGTCGTGGCTTCGGCGAACGAGTTGCTGACCTCACTGTGGCAGTCTGCTCAGAAGCTTCTCGAACGGATGGAGCGCCTTCTTCAGAAGTGGGAGAGGTTGCAGATGGCCGAGAATGATGGCAAGGCTGCTGCGGTTTCTTCAAAGGTCAAGGTGGGAGTTACAGATGGCCGACAGTGATGGCAGGGCTGCTTTGGCGCTCAGAAGAAGAAGCTCCAAGCCTGAAGTGGGACTAACAGAGGTCCGAGAGTGATGGCAGCATGGCAGTGCTTTTGTACTCAGAAAAAAGAAGCTCCAAACTTGCATTGTTGTGCCTTTTTGTCATGAGCCGGACACAGCCTGCCTGTTGAATTCCTCACATGGCAGGACACTGTGTCTTCCGCGCCGCGCAAGAAAGCACGCATCCCCACGACTGATGTGGAGTATCCAGATGTCATGACGACCAGCTGCCCCAAGAGTGTTGCAGATCAATACCGATGGCCCCAAAGGCGGGGAAGACGCTTTGCATTCCGCTGTCCGTGCGAAACCATTTCAAAGTGCATTGCAGTGTAACAGTTCCTGTTGCATGAAACTCAGGTTTCTGAGGTCCGCTGTTGCAAGTTGGGGCAAGAAGTATGTCCTGGACAGCTTATCAGTGATGAGCTGGAAAATGTCAACGACATTTTCTGGTATGGGCTGTTTCGAAAGTGCTGCACTTTCAGATTCTTGTCGTTCAAAGTGTGGCTCTGCAGAGTTTGTCTTGGGCTCTTAGTTTGGGAAGGCAATGTCAGTGCAACTTAGGTTCGCGACCATGCACAGGACTTGCTGCACAAGAATGGTCGCGGAGAATCGGCCTCTGTCGACCTTCGTTCGGCTTTGGACTTTGACTGCAAGGCCCAGAAGGTGTTGCAAGCGACATTTCCCGGGAGATGTGTGTCACTTAGTTGCATTGCATGTCTCGGTCCTGCCTTGTTCATTGTGCCTGGAGAGAGAGACGAGGCGGCTGCTTGAACGGGCTTAGGTTCGTGTGGTTCTATGGCCCATCTCAAGATAATATGGGTTCCAGGTTTCTAATTTAATGGCAAGTTGGACCCTAACACTTTGGCCGATGTGGGGTTTAGGCCTCGTACTTGTAAGGTGGGAACGGTTAGCAGCAATTTTGCTGGGATGTCTCGGGAAGGCCTTCTGATGCATGGGGTCGGGAAGTCGTTTCCTTGGAGTCCGAAGCCCTTAGCCCAATAGGTTCCAAGACAGTCCTCAGGGTTATTTTGCTTGGTCAGGGTAACTAAGTCGGAACACCTTCAGTGTCGTTGGTCCATTCCTGGCTCACAAGATTCCTGATAATGTGCAGTTACAGTCCTCAGGCTCTAGTGCTGCTAGTGCAGCACATCCTCATGTCACTTCCTGGCAATGCAGTACAATCCTGGTCCTTTTGTGGATTTGATAGTCATGTTGGCTTCGTATCCTCAGGATTTCTGTTTTCCTTGGCAGGGGTACAGAATATCCTGAGGGTGTGTTGTGGATAACGTAGAAGACGTGGTGTTGGCAGCTTGGCTCTGAACACGGAATGCTCAGGTCATTTTTCAAGACAGTAGAAGGGTCCTGGGTTGTGGCGCTGGCATCCTGATTCCCAAGCTGTTCCCCTGGCAACAAAGCAGAAGTCTCGTGGTGTGGTGTTGGTAGTATGGCTCCGAACATGGTGTGGTGTTGGTAGTATGACTCCCAACATGCAGACCTCAAGCTGTCTTCTTGGCAATGCAGTACAGTGCTGGTTTGAGTAGTGCTGCTGGTATCCCTACCCTTTAGTTCTGCTGCTGACTTGCTATGCACGTAAGATTCCTCTGCTGCATTCACCTGTGTAGTGGTGCTGGCAGCATGACACTAAGATAAACCTGTCAGTGTCGGCATTTGGGCACGCACGCGTTGCCGCGCAATCTTCCCTGGGACGAAGATTTTTGACGACGAAGTCACGACGATTTTCTTGGGTCCGGGTTTGAGCTAGCATGTTGTGGCCATAGTTTCACGTGTCCTGCACCATCTCTGCCAGAGCCCGAAGCCCAAAGCCCTAGTTCTGTATCTAGGTTCTAGTTGTCGTTCTGTCTGAGTAACCAACGACGGTGGGTTTGGGGTCCGGTTTATATTTGTGCGGGTTGTGAGAAGAAACGACCGTGGGTTTTGGATCCGGGCTATATTGGTGTGGGTGTTGATAAAACGGTGGCGGGTTTTGGTTATCTAGGTTTTAATGAACGAGCATGGCCTGAATTGCTGCGACACCCGTGCTTGCCATGAAATGTAAAAGGCTATGTTAGTGTGGGCGTTGAAAAAAAACGATGAATGGTGGGTTTTGGTTGACTTAGGTTTTAATCGACAAGCATGGCCGGACTTGCTGCGACACACATGCTTGCCATGAAATGTATATAAAGGCTAGACGCGGCGTGCAGCTGGGTTGTTAGGTTGTATACGGGCTATGTGCTGTGAGGTTTAGCCACAATCACCGTGTTGTTTTTTATTTCCTTGCCATCGTGTCACAAAAAACACAGCTGAGGTTCGGTGATGTGCTGAATATCGACTTGGGTTTGCAACGTGGGCAGCAGCCACACGGCTGGTGCCACGTGCACAAATCCTACTGTGCCGTGGGTGTTGAGCCCACACGGCCTGGCAACATGCAGGTTTCAGTTGAAGCTGCTGGGCCAACTTGCTGTCCCTTTTCCATTGCTGGTCTCCAGAAGAAGGTGCCCTAGGGATTCCTTTGCTGAGCATGCTTGTGTGTCACCTGGCACAACGGATTCTGTGCTTCCAAAGCTTGTCTTCTGGAGCAGGAAAATGACGGGAGATATGCGACCCACAAGGCCTGGATCCAGCACCGACGCCTGAACCAGGAGGACCCGACCGCCCAAGTGTTAAACACCTCCGACTTGTGAGTGCCCCTACGCCCTACGCAGGACATTGTTTTCTTCGAGAACACGCCTGGGTATGAGGAGCGGCTTCTGATAGCCGAACTAGGTGCCCTGCTTGCCAGAGCACACGTTGGATGAATTAGCAGACAGTTTGAGCTGGATGTGGACTCTGAAGCTGCGAAGGTGATCTGTACGAGATCAGATATGCCAGATTCGATCCTCGCAACCTCGGATATGGATGCTCTCGGCCGCGCTTCTGGGCCATTCTGGTGAACCGATCCACCATGGAATGGAAAACCGAGACATCGTTGGCCTCCCTGTTGCAGACATTCTTCTGTGTGCCATCGATGCAGGCATGCAGACAGATGTGGTGTTTGTTTGCCAGTCAGTCAGTATGTTCACCAGAATGCTTGGATTGCAGCAGGCAGAGGATTTCTTTTGGAGCAAAGCGGACGGGTCTCCAGATGTGTGCGCAAGGGATAAGAAAACTATCCGGGACTACCGCCGCTGCTTCGGTGAGAACAAGAAGGCAAGCCGGGTTGGTGTTCAGTATCGTGCACCGATGATATAATAATTATGTTTCAGTTTCAATCCCGTTGTGTGTAGGTTTTCGATTTGTCCCAGCGGAGTCCTACCTACTTTCGGACTGAGCTTGCGGATGGCTGCATGATGGTTCTGAAGACGAACACGAAGCTCTACTCTGACCATGACAAACAACACCGAACCATGTCGGCCGAAGAAATCTGTGCCTGCCTGGCACTGCCGTGCAACAAGACTTTCGCTTCTTGCTTGAAGTCCAGAAACAAAGTTAACACCAACAATCCTCCCCCTCTACACGTCGCTCAGGCTCGAGTTGCCAAAGGCCCTCTCTTCGCGGTGGATGCTGTGCCCTACAATGCCATTGTCCATTTGGCTGGGAACGGCATGCATGTTGCATGCGCTGGTGCTTTGATAATTATTGCTGCAATTCATGTACAGAAAGTCAAGCAGCAAAACATGAGTCAGTGATTACAATCTCTGTGTTAACCAGAAATAAAGCTTCTGTTCTGGTATTCCATATATTGACTCGTGTCTCCTGAACGACTATTCGAGACAACGGTCGGACGTGCGCCGAATGATTATGGCCCGATCGGCAATTAGATGCCCGAACGTGACTCGTTGGTGGGGCGCTAAAAGCTAGACTGTTCAATTGAGTTCTGGCCTGCGGTCGCTATTCTGTGGTGTCGCTAGCAGGGAAGATATAGATCTTGATGTAGAATCATTCCTGTGGAGTGGTTCTGTGCTTGAAGAGCCTCGGAAGATTTCAGACTGTGCAGTGGTGCTGTGCTTGAAATTAAGAAGGACCTGGTGACCTGGTGTGTGTTTCTGATGGAGTGCAGTGTAACTGTTCGCCATCATGATCATTCCTGTGCAGTGGTTTGGTGAGCCATGGAAAATTTCAGACTGTGCAGTGGTGCTGTCCTTGAAATTAAGAAGGACCTGTAGAGTGTAGTGTGCTGGGCTTGCAGAGAAGTCCTGGTGAATCCTGTGCAGTGGTGCTTGTGCTTCCCACGAAACCTTGCGGGAAGTCGGCAGGCAAGTTTCTTGCTCCTGTGTAGTGGTGTCCTGCTGGGATTCCAGAGAAGATCTTGTGACCTGTGTAGTGGTGCCAGGGACCTGCGCTGCCCCCGACTTTCCCAGATTAACTTTCAGGCTCGGACGTTGCAAGATCAGTCCCGGCACTGCCGGCGAGGCGTGCCCCTCATGCGCAAGCGAACTGGCAATGCCTTTGGCGGAAAGGCCCCTACGAAATCCTTGAAGGTTGCTGCTAGTACACATGAGGGCGCACGGCCCTGGGTCGACCGCATGTACAAGTCTTTGGAGACACGGTCTCAGTCATGCTGTGCGGCAGTGTGTAACAGGAATCCCAAAATGATTGCACGTGAATATTTACCGAGGAGCTTTGATGTTGACGCAGATGAACATCCTTGCCAGCTCGTCTTCAAGTACATGGCCCATGATCAGGAGCACTTTGAAATCCTGCTCAACAATATGAATGCCTGGTTCGTGGCCAGGGGAATTTCGACTCCAGAGGTTACTTGTCTGCCTAAATTTCATATGTGCATGGTGTGCATATCAGAATGGAGTCTTGAAGCCGCATTCGCTGCAGGGTCTGCTGCTGGACAACTTCACGTTTCCCTCCGATGACGGTGCTTATTCATTGCCCTTGCTATCCTTTTGGATGGCAAAGCCAACCGAAGGGTTTCCGCCTTTAGTTCAGTTTCGCCGATGGTGTGAGTCGATATGGTTTTCATTCGAGAAGGCGCGGGAGCCGCTCGAAGTGCATGCTGTGACCGTGGCAGGAGGTGACATGCTGCAACAGGGTGCGGTGGGCCTCACGAAGGGGTACACCAGGTCGGCAGTGATCTTGTATGCCATCATCCGGACTCTGATGATCGAGGATACAGAGGCTATGGCAGAGCCAGAACGGGAATTCTTTACCCAGTGCCGTGGCTTTAAACAAGCTGGTAGGAAGCTGTCAACTTCTTCACATTGTGGAAGTCCAAACCCAGATACAACACACCAATAATCAATGTCATTACGGACATGTTGGGATTTTATTGGCCCTGGCGCTGGCAGGGCCGATAAAACCCCAATAGGACACAACGACACCATTAAACCGTACCTCATTGCGGGGGGCTGGTTGTAATGACTGCGATTGTTGGTTGTGCTGCCCGCCATAGGCATTTTACAGGCCCTGGCGCTGGCAGGGCCGATAAACTGAGTCCCGTTGCACCTGGGTGCTCATTATTGCTGCTTTGAGACCATACTATGCCGGGTCTGCATCAGGAGCATGAGCTGGGGCTGTGGTCACCCCAAGCACAGTTTCAGCCTTGACCGCCCGTGCCCAAACCCAACTTTAAAACAGAATCTTTCACAGTGTAGTGTCAGTCCTAGAATTTAGTCCACAATGTTCTGCTGTGCTAAAGTCATGTGGTGCTAGTGTGCCTGTTTCGTTGTGTGGCGGTTTGGTGGGGTGGTGCTTTGGTGATTCGGGGCTTTGGTGCTGCATTTCTTTGCTGGTGCCGGGTGTGGTGGTGTGGGGGCATTGTGGGGGCATCCTGTGCTTCAGTTTAAATATAATAATAGTGAGTTATCACAAGCAACACCATGCAAAGATTTCCGTGCTGCTTTTCATCCAAGATGGATGCTGGACGTGCTGCTCATCCCGGTGAGCTTTGTTTCCCGCAGCCAGCACGAGCACAGTTTCAGGTCCCTGCAACTCGCTCACCAAGCGAGTCTGCGTGAGAAAAAGAATTTGCTTCAGACGGCTCTTCGATTTCAGGAACGTGCCGAAGTCCTCATGCAGGCTGCTCGCCCGCACATCATTGAAACTAAACTTTGCCGTTGTGCTTCTCTGCTGCTTAGAATGCTTAGAAGAAAATTAGTTGCTGATTTTGTCTGGTTCTCGTTTGCTGAGGACAACCCCAGCTGGACCCTGGAGGTTGCTTTGAACTCTGCTTTCGACGAGTACAACAACTTCGGCCTCGCCCAGCAAAGCCAGCAGTTCAAGCTTGCAGAACGGGAAATGTATGGCATCAAGGAGCACCCAAGAGCTCGCTGTGCAATTCTATGAATTAACCTTGTGTGTGCACTGTACGGAAATCCTCAACGCACTCGCCCTGCACCCTTTCATACGCTAACTCCCAAACCTGCTAATCTTCGACCCTACCTCTGCTCGCAGGCCCTGCTCTCTGGTGTGTCTGGGGACGTGCAAAAGCTGATGGCTCGTCATCTGCAGGTCAACACGTGGCAGAACTCAGGTGCAGGGGTCGCAGGATGTCAAAGTCCAGCATGCCGCCTCCGTGCAACTTAGGAACAAATCAGCCTTAGTTGTTTGTGACTCCCCTGACAGCTTTCTCCTTGGAGAACATCCGCAACAGCCGGTGGTTGATTGGATCTTCGGGAAGGGGCGCCACTCCCTACTGGCAAGCAGTCGAAACTGTGAACCCCGGCAAGCAGCTGTTCTTTATGGAACGAGCCATATTCCTCTTCAACATTCGCAAGAAGCAAGTGAAGAACCTCAGCACTGCCCGCGCTTCCCCGGACCAGTGGGAGCAAATGCTTGAAACTTCTTGCCTCATCTATCAGCTGCTCGAAGATATGAAGGCTGCCACGGACGCAGCCGGCGTGCCAATCTTCAAGCCGGACGATGTGCGCAAGGCCCGGACACGTGCCTTGGAAGGGCATCTCGACAGCAATCTCGGGTGTTCAGAGTTGGGGCCTCTGCTTTCAGGAGACTCAACACGTTCGTGGGCCTGCTACCGATGGGTTTAGGGTTTGCACTCTGGGGTTTAGTAGGGTTTAGGGTTTATTCCGGGTTTAGGGCGTAGGGTTTTGGTTTTGTGGCTTCCGCTGCTTTCTTGCTCTTCTTCGGGTTTTCCAAGGCAAAGCTTCGGGTGATGGTAGGTGTTACAAGTTCATGGTGATCACAAATATCTAGAATGCCTGAACTCCTGGAGCCCTAAACCCCTAAACCCACAACTGAAGCAACTCGTCTCCCAACTCCGAAAGTTCCGCCGCGATCCTTGGGGCTGACTTAATGCCTGCGGGGGACCCAGCATCCTACTCCAATCCTCTCTGATCTGCCCAGGGACTATGCCGGGGAGTTCCAAAACTTGATCTTGGCCAAGGTCGACTTCCTGGCGTCCGATTTGACATTCTGGCAGGACTACGGATCACATGTTGTCTTGTCGTGCCTGTTCATGCATTTTGGGCCGCAGTGGGCTGCACCCTGCCACCAAAACTGACAGGATCATCTCATGCTGCCAGACACCCGTGTTTGTGTCATGCTGCCTTCACCACTACATCCCTGCCACCGACACAACCAGGTTTATCTTATGCTGCTAAGGCCACTCTGGGGATCCTTGTGCCATGCTGCCTTCATCTCGATTGTGACATGCTGCCCTCACCACCACTCACATCCCTGCTGCTGACACAGACAGGTTCATCTTATGCTGCCAATATCGCACGCTGCCCTCACCACTACACGTCAGCCACTTCATCTGGATGGTGTCATGCTGCCCTCACCACTAAATGCGGCCACTTCATCTAGCACGTCAAGCTGCTCCGCCACCCCACACAGGTGATTGTCGGATGTTGCTCCAGGACCACATGTCCAAGGAGCCAGCTTCCTCGTCGGTGTTCGGCAGCCCAACCTGCGACACACGTGTCAGTGATGCGATTACAACTTTGGACATGGAATCGGTGCAAAAGTCCTACGAGGCTGACCTCCTGAAACTCTCAGAAGACATGTCGAGGTTTTCGACCTACACAGCGAGGATTTCAGCAGGAGCCCGACAACATGCAATCGCAAAGGTTCTAAAGCTCAAAGCCGAGAACAGACGCGGGGCAACCCTGGTTCTTGACTTCATGTCCCGGAATGCCAGGTTCGTCGCAAACAGCTATGTCGAAGAGCATATGAACATCATGGAGGATCGTTTTCCGAAACCCTACAATCATTCGTTTCAAATGGCGTTTGTAACTCTGTACTGGAGATGTGTGTAAACCCAATAAAGTCTTCTGGAGCCCTAAACCCTCTACCTGTAAATGCCTGAACCCAAAGCATCTAAAGCCTTTAAATCCAAGAAACTCTATACCTCCTAAATCCCTAGACCTTAAAAAACACAGAGGCTTAATAAAACCTATTCGTTTGGCTAATCTTTAAACCCCAAACCCGGAAATTGTATCCTAAACCTTGTAAACCCTAAATCCATAAACCCACGCGAATACCCCAGCAACGCGCCAACCCTTCCGTCCCTGCAGTGGGTGGGAAGCATCGCGCCAAGTGCCATTCTGATCTGGGCGGATTTTACGAAATCTGGAACGCTGCAGGCGGACCATCTAGATGCTGTCGCCGAAGAGGTCCGGCGTGTCTGCAGCGCGTACCCGAAGAAAAGTGCTGGTGTGATCATCGCTCCCACGATGATCTCTTCGAAGGTGGTGGCCGGCAAACGGGGTGAGCTGAGGCAGGAGCTCCTTTCGATCTGGGTTTCCGGAAATAAACCCTAAACTCCTAAAACCTATAGACCCTATATGCCGGAAGATTGGCAGGCGTGTGGAAGACAAGCTCGACACCCGCAACCTCACCAGTGTTCGATTCGGCATCCGGATGGAGCAAGGGCACGGAAACCGACGCCTCCCACTCATCTTCCCTGCCTATGTGGCCGTGAATGACAGTGCCACTTCGAATATCTTCTCCACTTCGAAGCTGCTTCTGAACGAGCCACTTTTCAGAAGTGGGGTGGGTAGTGAGATGATGTTACTTTCGTCAGGAACTGCTAGACCCATCTAGTTCAGATTCTGCCTCAGGTGCACAAGGAGCGAAATCAGCTGGCTGCCAACACGGGAGTACAAAGTGCCGCACGCCAAAAACACGACTCCAGCAACCACAGAAGCAACGGAGAGGAGATTTGGGAAGCCAGCACCCCAAACAATCGGCCCCCGAAGCCTCGACTCGGAACCTAAGTGGTAACCGTGAACCTATCATCCCAAAACACAGGAGTCTGTCTGACATGCAGATGAACGCCCAATGCCTTGGCGGTGTGCCAGTCGCCGCGGAGGTGTTGTCCAGCCTGTTCGAGGATTGGATTCATACCTTGTTTGGGATATCAAGGGTTCTTAGGGCAGTAGATTTCGGGGTAATCTGGGTTAGCAACGTGGGCTTTAGAATAATTTAGAAGAAGGGCAAAGTCGGTTTCCAAATAATACCATAATGCTGCTAGTCTGCATTTGGACACTATAACTTTGCACTTCCTGGGCTTCGTCCCTAAACCCTAATGTTCAACCATATGATGCAGGATGTGGAGGGCATCGATGGGAAAGCCACTGTGTGTGTCATTAACCTGAGTCCCTATGATGCTTGCTTGGAGAAGGCCTGCCTTGCCAGCAAAGACCAAGGTGGACCCAGGACTGATCAACTCTATCTAAATTGTTATTGTAAACCTTAATCCTATAAGGCAACCCTCAATCTGATACCCGAACCCTAACCCCGAAAATTCTGTGCCCTGTACCCTGAACCTCTGTCCTCTACTGGTGCAGGATTCTGACATACAGCTGTGGCCCTGCTGTGGAAACCCAATTCGCGCAACGGCTACTGGCCCAGAAGCTTGCTGAGGCCGGCAATTAAATGCAACCGAACAAATCAAATTCAACTAAACCCTAAACTCTATGAAACTGTGTGTTGCTCCTGACAAAACCGCCTCAACTCCGACAACTGCTCTTCAAGAGACCTTTGCAGGATTGGAAATCGGGAGCCCAACTTCTTGGTGTATCAGCTGCACCCTACAATCCGGTCTTGGAGGAGTTCACCGAGTCGGTTGCCGTGCCTGAGCTCCTTCTGTGCGAGCTGGGATCGGATGCCACCGGTGCGAAGAAGCTGGTCCTGAGCGGCACAGTCAGGGCCAAGTGGCAAGATGATCCAATTCGAAAGGATGGATGGGCCGACGAGCTTTCCAAGTTCGATGCCAGGTGCCTTCCCTACACAATCTTCCCGTTTCAAAACCCAAACCCTAAACCCGAGCTACAGCCAATCCTTCCGAAACCAGAATGCATTCAACACCATTGCAACCCTACACCCTAAACCCTAAGGCCTGAATCATTGCCGTCAAGATAGTAATTGTTGTTCTGCCGTCGCAAAACATTCAGGTTTGGGACGCCCTCGACCTCAGCTTCACCTACCACTGCTGCTCCTACAACCGTGCCATCCCCTGCCAGCCAGGCCGAGCCTGCAGCAGCAGGGAGAGCAGAGAGGGCGCCTGGTCCAGTGTCCGGGGCCTGGGCAGCGGAACCCAGAACTGTGGCTGATCTGGAGGAAATGTATGACATGGTGCTGTGCATCCCCGGGCGAATCCCCACGACGCAGCTTAGGGTGGTCAATGCATCCGTGAAGGGCAAACCTCTATCAGAAGCTTCGGATATCGTGCCCGAGCAAGAGCACAAGCTGTTCATCGCATCATCCTCAATTTTTTTCTAATCCTAGGAACATTTTGCTTGTTTCATGTAGTAGAAGTATTAAAGACTTTCTGTTGCTAGGTGGCCATGGAGAATGTCACTCTGGATATGAAGAGCTTCGTCATCGGCCATGACAGGGCAAGCTTCATGCCTGCTGCGAAGGTGCAGAAGCTCATGGAGAGTGGAGGACTCGACTCGTCTGCATGCTTTCTGATAGGATCAGCTTAGGCAAGAATTAAACGCCTAACTTGTTGTGTGCTGGTCCAGTCTCGATGAATACCGATGACAGGCTCAAGGTTGCTAACTGCTCGAATCGCTTCCCGCTGCTTCGTTAAGCGTTGCATTTGAGATGGACGAGTGCTCGGCCTATGCGCTTCTTAAGGATCTGGAGGAGGGGTGTGACCTCCTTGGGATTGAAACCCCGAGGCACCTGCGCACCCAGACCTGTGATGCTGCAACGCTGAAGACACCTCCTTCCGAATCTACTCGTGCCACGACAAACGCTTCAGCCTCCTCTACGCCATCGGCATCCCCATCCCCGGTTTCGGATGATGTGCAAAGGCTCCCTACCCCAAGGACGCTGTTCCCAGGAAAGTTCGGCAAGCCTGGTACAACGGAGTCTTCAATACCCTTGAACCCTTATCCCTTCCGCCGTGGCCTGACCTCTACAAGCGAGCTTAGCACTGCTGAGACGCCTACGAAGGCGGATATTGACTTCATGAAGGCTAACATCACCGAGGCCAAGGCCGAGATTGACAGCAAGAAGCACAAGCCGGGGAAGAACCCCGCCCAGGTCGACCAGGCAGCCTCGGATTGAGATGGTTTGGCATTCACAATTAATCGCCCTAAACCCTAAACTAAACCCTAAACCCCCACAGTGCTAATGGGTGCCGCAAAACCTGCATTCACACTAATCGCCCTAAACCCTAAACTAAACCCTAAACCCCCACAGTGCTAATGGGTGCCGCAAAACCTGACCTTCATTCCTATAATAAGTCTGAAGCCCAGAAACCATAAACCCACCAAAACCCTATCCCAAACAAAAATTAAACGCCTCGTAAAGCAATCCTGATCCCTGTGATGGTGGGACTCTATCATTAACCCAGCAAACCCTTGCCCAGTCTTCAGACTCCTGATCCTTGAATTTCGTGTGCCCAGTAGACACCCGAAGAACACACAAGTAAGGACGACTCCTGATGCTATTATTGTGTTCTCAATGTTGCAGTCTTCGTGAGTAAGAGGCACAGTGACTCGTCCTGTGGGTCGAGAATGGTACGCTCTTCGGCTATTCAAACCCTACACCGACAATACTATCTAAGCTAATCTTAACTCCTCACGACAATACTATCTAAACCAATCTTAACTCCTCATTCCTCTGTGCAGGCAAAGCCTGGCCCGGTGCCGAAGAGTGCCAAAAGTGTGGCCGAGCGGAAAGCTTGTGGCAATGAAATCATCGGCCTGTCCGCTGCTGTGTCATCCCTCGTGCTTGGAAAGAATTCTGCTGGAAAGGCCCAGCAAGGCAAGCTCGCCAAGGTGAAGGCCAAGCAAGCCAAGGACGCCGCGAAGAAGCAGAAGGAGAAGACCGAGGCGGAGCGTGAAGATGAGAGTGTGGGCAGTGCCGAGGAGAACGAGGAAAATGATGCCGCATTGGAGGCCTTTGAAGACGTGGCTTCTGACGAGGAGCTCAACAAGGCTGATCGGGAAGCGGCGAGCGGCAGCAAGGACGGGAAGCGCAAGCGGAGGCAGAGCTTGCCCAAGGCCAAGGCGAAGGCGAAAGCCAAGATCGGAAAGACGGAGACGCAGGAGACAGAGCCAGTTGCCAAGGCGAAGGCCAAAGCCAAGGCGAAGGCCAAAAGCAAGGCGGCGGCTAAGGACTCTGTGGATGGCAAGGCTCGCAAGAACCCCCTCGAGTCCTTTCTGGGACAGGAATGGACGAAGTTCAAGGATGCCCAGATGGAAATCCTCAAGGGCACGATGCGCTTCCATGACATGATGAAGGAGATCTCGCGACGGCCTCTTATCTTAATTTATTGGGTTAACAATCTAACCTTAGATGTCAATGCACTGCTTCTCCCTCAATCAAATGTTGGTCGAAACCGAAGTTTAAACAACTACAGAGACTCGTCCTGCACCTCCCACCAAACCAAAGGGCTTCAAGCCTAAGACGTTGGGAAGAAGGGTTTATCGTTTAGGGGAGGGGACGGTGTATTGTTGATCGGTCTATGTGTCACAACCTTTTTTGTCTCGACTGTAGTAGCCCTGAGTATATATATTTTCCCAGACCGTCTGACCCTAAAGGTAAAGATATCAAAGCTCCGAAAGCAAAATTCTAGGTGATTTTAAGAAAGGCTCGCTAGATGCCTGGACTCGTTGTTTAATGTATCTACTGGAACCGACAGTTTGATTGTTTTAGCCACAATGCCTCTGGTAGTTTAACAAGCGAATCCTAAACCCTAAGGTAGCCTGCCGCAAACATAAGTTCATTCTGTCCTGCTCTAACTTATATGAGAATGCTGAGGTCACCACATGCCCAAAACACTAAGAAATCATAATGATCCTCGATGTTCTTAGTCACATTGACATCTAATGACTGTCATGGTGCACGCAGTGCAAGGCCCGTCCCCATCATAATGCCACATGTAAACTTCCCATGAAGCTGATGCCGCTTCAATCTCGTCTTAAAAGACGGAGTCTGAAAGCTTAAAAGCATGATCCGATATTTAACTTCTATAGATGCAAGATCAGATGCCAATCGCCTGAATTGTTGTCGAAGGATAAAATAAAGCCTGCGAAATCTAATATGTACGCCTAATCAGCCTAATCTCCTAATATCTCTTGAAGTCGAACCAGCCCAGGTGGAAGTCGCACCCCGTCCGTGTGAAGGCTGCCGAGGGCCTGACGGAGTCCCAGCTGAAGCGCCGACGCTGGAACTAGGATCCTGCTGAGTTCTGTGGCGAGGCATGATTGTAGAATCATCTTGGGTCGGCCAGTGGCTTCTGAAATCATAAGATTGCTAGCTTAGCTCGGCTTTTGCGATCCTCGCACCATGACAAAGCAGGCTTTCGGGTTTATGAACAGATTCGGGCCGGAGCCATTCTGTGGAATGGTTCTACTAGACCTCCCGGATCATGCCTCAAAGGGGTTTGTGGATATGAGTGCGCCTGAAGGCCAGTCGGCATAGATGCTTTCAGCTGACTTAGAGCCTGCCAGTGCCGAAGAGTTGAAAAATAATTGGCAATCGGTACAGTCTGCCTCGGGCTCCTAGTGCCCGTCAAGCTTGAATGCTAAGCTCCCAAACCAAAACCCAAACTACAGACTAAAGCCCAAAACCGTAGGCCCTCAGCCCCAAAGCCCATTATCAAGCCCGATCGTCCAGACCTAAAACACCGAGCTGTTCAGCCCTTGTTGTGCATCCGGGCTCTGATCTTCTAGCCGGAAAACCTCTGCATAATAATACCTAAATAATATCAAAACCCCCAAGTCCTAAGCCCTAAACCCTGAAGCCCAACAAGTCTGAGTCGTTTGTTTCGTGACAATGATAATGATGCAATAACAACATCGGACTCCTCGCCGGAAAGAGTCTGCATACCTAACTAATATCAAAAAATAATCCAAGCCCTAAGCCCTAAACCAACAAGTCTGAGTCGTTTGTTATTATGACCATGATGCAATAACAACATCTTTTGAAATTTGCACTTCTTCTATGTTCCTTATGACTGACTTACAGTTCGAGGCCGCACCCCTAAGCCCCCGGACTTGGCAGGAGTCCTCAAGGATGCAACCGCCATCCAGTGCTGCTGGGAATGTGATGAAGACTTGGTCGTGCTCGAAGTGAATGAGGAGCTCTGTCGTCTCTTTTTGTTTAAGGGTCGTGGGTTCATGAACCTGCAGTGCTGTTAATGTTACAGGAGGGGACACGGCGACTACGCGACACGGATCCTGTGCCCTTGCGAAACCTTTTCCATGAGTTCGAATCCAATGGCATGGTGGACTTCACAGTCAATGGGCATCGTTGCGAACGCCCCGAAGGCTAGATATCAAGATTCGCTTGGTTTTCGGTTCAATTCCTCAATCCAAGCAGTTATAGTTCTGAGCTACTTAATCATATGCCCTTTGCCTTTAAAGGCGACAGTGGCGACACCGATTGCTTCAATATTTCCTCCGATGCGGCCACTCCACTGGTGTTCAAGTATGCTTCTCTGAAGGGCAAGGCCGACTTGAGGTTCACGTCCCTCGCCTCCTACTTCAACAATCGAGCACTGCTGGACCAGAAGATCCTCAGGCTTGCTTGGAGGGTGTCTTGGAACAACGATGACCAGGAGCCCTTGAATGCAGTAAGCATGCCCCGTAGCACCCGTTGCTTCGATAAGCATGGCCTTTGATATACAAATCGTTTCGATAAGCATGGCCCCTGGTAGCACAAATCTTTTCGAGACGTAAAGCTGCATCTCCACGGCAGCACATATATCTAGGATGAACACGATCCTTGTTTAACGTCAGCAAAAGCAAGGCCCCTGCCCCAGGCAGCACAACTCGAGAAGATTCGATCTGACAGGTTTCAGGTTTAGGGTCTTTTTAGCCTTAGGAGCTTAGGCTCTTAAGGGTATAGTTTCGATTGCAAGGGCTTGGGTTGGGTACTGCCCCCAGTCAGTATGACATTTGGATGGATGCCCTTGATACTACCTGGCCCTTCTTGACTGGTACTGGCTCGGCAGGGTCAATACCGAAGGTTTATGGATAATGCGGGTTTACATCTTGAGGGTCCGACTTAACAACAAATTTTAGGTTTAGGCTGCAAGGATGTAAGAGTGCAACGGTTTAGTTTTAACGGCTACATGGTGAGAGGTTTCAAGGGTTCAGTTTCGGGTTATGTAAAGCGTTTTAAGTTTGGAGTGTTTCGTTAAAGGACTGCATTGCATCAGTCTTCGGTCTACTAAGCCCCCAATGTACGGAATCAGATGAGCATTAGCCCCGACTCCAAGATATCACAGACCCATTTAGCTGTTCCTTGCCAGGAGCTATCACCGAAGAAGCCCTTGTATCTTCTGAGAAACAATGTGACGTTGCGGAAGGGTGAGGCATACCGGCTGATCTGAATCTGCTCCGCTCCTTGACGTTCAAGGCCGCACATATCTACGAAGATTACAGCCTACATCTTTTAATATTCGGGACATACTTCTGGAAGATCTCACCGTGGATAGTGTGTGGCCGAAGGTTTTTCCGAAAGCTGCAAAGCTGCTAGTGCGGCTGCAGAACTCGAACCTCTCTGAGGGCTTTCAAAACACCTGCTAGTGCGGCTGCAGAACTGAACCTCTCTGAGGGCTTTTAAAACACGCGGACACCACGAAGCAGCCGCTGTGCAAAGAGTCGGGATGCACTCATGCTGCTGGCACGCGGGCACGTGGGTGTGGGTGTGTGTGTGTGTGTGTGTCTGTGTGCCTCCTCCGTTCTGTGTGTGTGTGTGAGACAGAGACAGATATAGAGAGTGAGAGAGGGATAGAGATAACCTGAACCCTTAGATTTTGGCTCAAACGACATGAGTTCCATGTCATCAAGGCAAGCCATGTCTTGTTTCACTGCTTGCTTTAAAAGCCAATCAAATACTTCACATACACTGCCTGCTGTGTTCTGCTTCAAGATCAAGCCATGTCTTGTTTCACTGCTTGCTTTAAAAGCCAATCAAATATCTTCATACACCGCCTGCTGTGTTCTGTTTCATAATGCAGACGTATCTTCATCACTGTGCGCATGGCGGAGAAAAGAAGACGAGAGCCCTAAAAAGAAATAATAACCTTATTTCATGTTTGGCTCAAACAGCATGAACTCTACTGGCTAGCGCTGGTGGTGTCCTGCACCTTGTTTGTTTGCAGCCCCAAATAACATGGGCCATTCCGCTGGCTATGTCCTGCACCTTGTTTGTTTGCAGCCCGAAATAACAGGGGGCATTCCGCTGGATATGTCCCGCTCCTTGTTTGTTTGCAGCCCCTAATTACCAGAGGCCATTCCGCTGGTGATCTATGTCCAGCTACAGGCAATGTCATGCTCCTTGTTTGTTAGCCGTCAAATAGACCACTCCGCTGGCAATGTCGTTGCGCTGGTCTGAGCTGGACCCAGAAACAAAGGGTCAGACGTAATTGTTACAGGGCCAAACCCAACTAAATTAACTTACAGGTCCTCCTCCATTGCAGAAAGGATTGAGGACGATAGCGCGGCTGGCTGCTGAACTACAGCACGTTGCAATGCCCGCAGCGCCGCAGCCTTGGAGCGAGCAGCTGAGGAGGAGGAGGAGCCCACGACTAACCCAGAATCGAATCCGGTTTCGGCTCTGTCTAACAAGCCTTCCAGTGTGTGAGGCTCCGTGCGCTTCTCGGCGAGTGTCTTGACGATCCGAGTCAATTGTGTCACAGCCCTGGCTACTCCGTTCCCCCCTGACACATCGGCCCCGCCTGCCTCCTCGTCTACTTCTGCATCGCTTTCCGAGAGCGGGTTCGCTGTGGCCGCGGTTCTCGTTGCCAGAGCGCCCGGCTTGGCAGCAGGGACATCCGTCATGCTTGTCCCCTTCCCCTTGAAAGCTGATTCTCCGTGACTCCTGCTGCCCTGGCGGCTGCTACAGTCTGCGCTGAGATACCCTTGTACCCTACAGGCGTCAGTCCAGGCGGGGCCGCTAAGCTCGCATTTGGGCCCGGTCCCGCAGCTTTGCTTGAGGCTTGCATGATCGCCGGCTGGACCGCCACTGCTGGGGACTCCAGTTGGGAAACTAGAGTACCAAGGGTCTGCTGCAAAGAATCGAGCACACTCTCCACACGATCCAGCCTGGCTGACTGGTTCGGCCTCGCTCGTGCAGCACTGGATGGCGCGGCAGCTCCCGGCGCTCGTAGGCTCGGAAGGTCCGCCTGATCGCCTGAAGTTGCAGACACAAAAGCGAAGGCATCCTGGCAAGCACGCTGCAACGCTAGTGCGAGAGGAAGGGCGGGCTGGTTTGCTCCCGAAACGAAGGCATGATCGCAAGTCTCCCCCGAAGGCGGGTAATCCACCAAACTGACAAGCTCGCCCTGCAAATAACCGACCCATGCTTTCACTGTGATGCCGCTTTCGTCAGCTAATGCTCTGTCTTCAGGTGAGGCTGCAGCCACCTCGACAGCAGTGGCTCTGACAAGACTGCCGGCGGGCAATTTCCGATTCTGTGCTCTGCGATTCCACGCAGAAAATGGCACCGCCACTAGAAACCGAGAACCGTCCGAAGACAAACCCAGTATCTCAAAAGTTAACCCTGAAGCGAGTTTCAAACGGCCTACTTCGTACCCAGGCTCAACAGCTCCACCGTGAGCGAAAACTAAAGCGTCGGCAAGCCCAAGCGGCTCGCCTTCGAACTCGTCCTCCTCCTGTTCAGCTTGGTCCTCAGCAAGACCGTCCTCTTCAGGCAGAATGGCTTCAGCCATCAGACGTTAGTGGTTGGCAGCCCGGCCTCAACAAGAGCGGCTCTGGCTTCCCAGCGAGTTGGTAAGCCCACGAAAACTGAACTACCACAATCACTGCCGCGTTTGCACCGCGACGATACCTCAGAAAACCTCTCCACTACGAGAGGCGGAGAAATATCAATCCCTGTGTAATCACGGCAAATGATGTAAACCCGATTTCGGAGAGGATTCTTATCCCTGCCCGAAGTCCCCAGAAATTCGCGATTCAGAGCCCTTCGCAAGAAACGGCCTACCTCTTTGGCTATGTCCTCCCGGGCCGCGTGGGAGAGGGCAGACTGCTGAGATTCGGCCGAAGTGTCGCCCGGTACACCTGGCGAGTGATGCTCCGGAACGCTTGCGACTCTCTCCGGCGTTACCGGGACAGCCGGACGGCCCGAGGGCCCAGCAAGGGGTACTTCAGGAACAAGCTCGAACTCACTCTGGCTGTCTGCTGCGGACAATAGACGCCTAAGCAAACGACCTTGCACCTCAACTACTGCACGCAACTCTTCAACTTCAAACCTGAGCTGCGCCACTTGGCTCTCAAGGCTCATGCAAGATTTCAGAGCAACCGATAATAGGGCTCAGCAATGGGCCCCAGCAACCGGCGCACTCTGTGCCGGATCCAAGCTGACAGAGCCGCTTTTAGCAACGCAAGTGCGTCTAGCAGCGGCCACAACAGAAACCCAATGCCTATACCTACAAGAACCGAATGCAAATCTAAACTATCGGATGCGATATCCGATGGACAAATACAATCAAAAGGTGCTGGCAAAGATGAGGGCAGTGAAGAAGAGGATGCCTCGTGAAGCGCCCTGAGGAGCAAAGTCGCGACACCACCTCCTACCGAACCTCCAAGGACCCCTACCTGCAAAGGCTGAGTGGGCATGCACCTTGAGACAGAAAAGCTGAGGCACTTTCGAGTAAACATGCGTGTCATGACGATACTTCAAATCATCGTACTATAAAACCATCTAACACAGACTACGTAGCAGGATACAGCATAAAATAGCGTAACATGTAACACAGCACAACATAACCTAGCAACACATAGAATGGTACAGCACAACATAGCATACCATATGAAGCCATACCATAAATATAACATAACCTAACCTAACACAACATGCCATAACACTATATAACATGAACCAGACGAGTAGAACATACTGTAATGTGCAATAACATAATACAACATAACCTAGGGTAAGGTATTGTAACACAATGCAACATCTAAATTACAATCTGGAGTTGTGGCATATGTTGTGCATCATTATGATATGGCCTTAAAAGGGTTCCTTCAAAGGGCTCCATACGGCATCTACAGCTTTGCGCCTCAATAGTTAGACTAGTCTGGTTTCGGAGGCAGGGGATCAATCGTAGCAAAAGTACCAACAACTGGGGACCCAAGGGCTCAAGGCTTTAGGGTTTAGGGTTTAGGGTTTAGGGGTTTAGGGTTTAGGGTTTAGGGGTTTAGGGTTTAGGGTTTAGGGGTTTAGGGTTTAGGGTTTAGGGGTTTAGGGTTTAGGGTTTAGGGGTTTAGGGTTTAGGGCTTAGGGTTTAGGGTTATGGGCGGAGCCCTGGCTAAAGGCAAACATTCAGGCCATACATTTACAGTGACTCAAACGAGACATGGCACTGGCGTCTACGATGGTCGGTATGAAACCCGAAGCTGTGGTTTAGAGTGTATAGTGTTTGAAGTTTAGGATGCTTTAGGGTTCAGGGTGTACGAAGGCTGCTGTTGCCTGTTACGGTGCAGGGTTAGGATTCACCTGGGCTTTTGGGGCTCTCGCAAGTGAGTACCCAGGACTACTAAAAGTGAGGTACTGTTTGCTTTATTGTTTGTGGAGGGGGGGTGGCGAGGGTTCGGGGGGTTTTGCACTGTTGCCCTTTTCAAAACCCTGAACCCTAAATGGGTTTGAGTATTCTTTGTGTGCTTCTCAAGAAGAAAGTCCGTCCGAAATCCAAGCTCCGGCCCTCCACCCTTTAGGGTTTAGGAACCTACCTTTTTAGGGCCTTTTAATATGATTTCTTTATATAAGTCCCTAAAAGGTAGGCTGTTTGGGGTTAAGGTAGGGTTTACGAACCATCCTCAAACAACGGCAGAGCAACAAACACATCAACATAACAACCAGGATAATGCGAATATTATGTACATACATGTAACAAAATATCTGCATAAGCTTTGCGACAACAATAACAGTTCCTAGCCACCAAACCCAAAGCCAAGACATGAACATCAGAAAGCAGGCAAAGCCGCATGCTCCCGAATGTACTGGAGCACCTGGGAGGGTCAACAAATATAAGTGCCTTGATAATTAGAATAGGGCTTTGGGGCCCATTATACTAGAATTAAAACAAGGACCCCCCCAAAGAAAAAAATCGTACAAGTAGTCATTTAAGCCCCTGTATCATAGTACCCTTTTAGATCCCTTATAGTAACCCTTCTCGACCCTCTAAAGGAATCCCCAAAAAATCCCATAAGTAAGTATTTAAGCTACTGTAGTACTCGGAACCAGCCTTGGCAATTAGGGCTTTCGAGCTCGGATTGGTGGGTTTCCTGAAGCATTACAAGCATAAAAAACACAATCCTTCGGAGTTCTATTGGAATACAAGCCTATAGAGTGATTCCTGAGGAACACCAAAGTGTAGGAGTAGTCGAATTAGAAAGTTCATAGTGATTTAAGGGACATGGCTTTTGGGGTTTTGCCCTTGTCCAGCTTCCAGGGTTCAGGGCTCTTTGGATCTGAATAACCACACCCTGAACTGCTAGAAGCTCCGAGCGTGAAGCCTAAGAACACCGAGGCATCTAAGGTTTAGGGTGGCTAATGATAAACCCTTGATACTTCGGACAAGCCTTTGGGTGTACATGCTATTGCGAAACCCATAACGTAGGGACCACAAGGGGCACTTGCACAAACCCAAAACCTCAAACGCTAATTGAGGCAAGCCTAGGCGCGAAGAATAAGAGGGAACCCAGACGGTCATGTTATGCCGGGTTGCGGGTTTAGAGTAGGGTTTACGTACTGCTTGGTGTCTGCATGTACTAGGACTGAGAAAGGAGCTCGGTCCCAAAATCCGTGGTAGGGACTGTCTTCCAAGTCCCAGGTCCTTTATGATTAAGTTTTAGGGTTTAGGGAGGATTGCGCAGCGCTAAGCTGTAACTATATCTTGATAATTGGGAAATATTCGTGCACTAGATTACGGCTTCCAGCAACGGGTATAAGGCTCCTACACAGCTCTCCAATGTGCCGCAGTTCCTTGTTCTGTTTACCGGGCTTCTCGGCTATACATGTGTTCTTACAAAGATCTTAAATTTCTCGGGTTTTAGTTTACCAATGGACTCTTGAACCGGAAACGGACGGTGGGATGGACTACCTTGGTAGGTGTCATCTCTGAGGCACGCCATCGAATAGACTTTGGTCATCTGCTTCATCCAATGAAACCGTTTGCGTGGAATATCCAAGTCCTTGGCTTTAGTGAGTCATTCAAGTCTAACCTGAGGCTTACTCAGTGCTGATTTAGCATTTAGGGCGTAGGGACTGTACTTGAAGGCTCAGGATACCCAACGTCTGTACCTGTAAGCTTACCAATCAAGATTGATTTGACGTATTCCAGAGGAGCCCCAAGCAAACTCTGTACGAGTTGATCCTAAAAGCCTCGTCTTATGATCATGTTGCAATTCGTCGTCTCGTCGACTAAGTAGCTAGGCTCGAATACAGGCTCGTCTAGCTTTTCTAGATAACATAAAACCAAGCGTAGAAGCCCGGAAAGCTTGAGGCATAAAGGGGTACACAGTACACACCACGGGGTTCTTATACCAAGAGTAATTAGAAGACAGAGCCCCGCTTTCGTTGAGCTGAAGTTGCAAAATCTAACGCCCTATGACTGTGACAGCAGCTGGAATTTCAAACTCGACAGGGAACAAACTGCTAAACCAAGGCGGAAGGGCACCTATCGCCTTCGCAAATCCAAAAAGGGCAACTACTGCCAGAAATGCCACTACTTCCCCTACTACTAGTACGACGACTACTACTACGACTAGACTACTGCTGCTACTACTACTACTACTACGACTACTAATAACAATAATTACCAATTACTAGTACTAATGCTATTGCTATTACTGTTACTATTGCTGTTACTATAACTACTACTACTACTACTACTACTACTACTACTACTACTACTACTACTACTACTACTACTGCTACTGCTACTGCTACTACTACTACTACTACTACTGCTACTACTACTACTACTACTGCTACTACTACTACTACTACTGCTGCTACTACTACTACTACTATTACTATGATCATTACTACTTCTACTACTACTACTACTACTGCTACTACTACTACTACTACTATTACTACTACTACTACTACTACTACTACTACTACTACTACTACTACTACTGCTGAATACTACTATTACTATCACTACTACTACTCACAAAATTTCTTTTCTTACAACTATTGCTACTACTTCTACTACTACTACTGCTAAACTACTACTACTACTACTACTACTACTACTACTACTACTACTACTACTACTACGACTACGACTACGACTACGACTACGACTACGACTACGACGACGACTACGACGACGACTACGACGACGACTACTACTAAGACTAAGACTAAGACTAAGACTAAGACTAAGACTAAGACTAAGACTAAGACTAAGACTATGACTAAGACTAAGACTAAGACTGAGACTAAGACTAAGACTAAGACTCAGACTAAGACTAATACTAATACTAATACAAATACTAATACTACTACTCACTGGGCTCTCCGGGCGCCCCGCGCCAGGAGCAAAGTCGCGGTAACGCGGTAGTGCGTGAACTAGTCAATTACAGCACTTTTGTAGTTTTCATGGAACATGTATCATTCCGGGCCAAAAGCGGCTGGGGGACAACCTATGTAATTGATTTGAATGCAGTTCAAAGACGTCGGAATTGAACCAGCAAGCCGAAAGCAGCGTAAATACCAGTGAACTGTGTGCAGTCATGGCAAGTTTTGGCTCCGACGGTTCTCGGGTAAATAATGGCGCAGATATTTCTTTGGGGTTTGTTGGTAGGAACCCGGCATGCTCTATATCAACGTGCTCATGTTGCACATGTCGTGCTGATTAGAAGTCTCAGGCAAAACTCCTCTAAAGAACTAGCTTCACACATGCACACCCACAGGATGTCATGCAAGCTGTGCATGAGGAGAGAGTAGGAAACGCCACTGGGCAGAAACAAAAGTGAAGATGATGAAGTGGCCCCGGAGCATGCGACACCGGCCAGCTTTACCACGCATGCTCGATTGGATGCAGCTGCTCGTCGAAAGCAAACTCAGAATACTCGTGCGGCCAAATTGCTGCAGAAGGACAAAAAAACTTTGGTCGCTGCAAATTGCATGGTACGAAACGAAAATGATACCGCATTTGCTGAAGAGTGGGGCTTCTTCAGGCTGGGTTCGTTTGCTCTGTTCGCGATGGTTTACGTTCAAGCAGCCCGCGAGCCACCGTTGCTGGGACAGCTGAACCTCTGGCA